TTTTTTTTTTTTTTTTAATTTCTGTTTTAGAGAGGGCACGAGTGAGGGAGACAGATAGAGGGAGAGAGAAAATCTCCAGCACACTCAGGATGGAGCCTGATGCCGGGCTTGATCCCATGAATCTGGGGTCATGACCCGAGCTGAAATCAAGAGTCGGACCACCCAACTGATTGAGCCTCCCAGGTGCCCCTAGAAAGTTTTTCTGATAACCAATGTAGAAGCTGAGATGTGCCCATACTGTTACAAAAACACTTAAAAAGTAGTAATGCATTTATTTACCCCTCAGCATCCTCTGAGGTAGGTTCTGTGATTATCTCCTTTAACAGATGAAACTGGGGCATAGAGGGGCAGTCCTTTGCCCAAGGTCCCACAGTGGCAGAGGCAGGCTTGAGCCCGGGCAGCCTCGTTTGAGTCTTTGCTTGTCACCAGGCTGGCACCTCCCCTCAGGTACCATTAAATCTAGGTGAGAGGAGAGGAGGCAGACCGTGGAAGGACATGCAAATGGAGTGGCGTGGCGTGTGGTTAAGTGAGCTCCTGGACTTGTCCATTGCATTGGGCTGGAGGGAAGAGGTAGGATTGAGCTCATGTCCGTGGCTGGGGACCCAGGTGGAGGCTGCTCCCATTTCCTGAGGCAGGAGATCCAGATGGATGGACTTCATTTGGACATGCTCACCGTGGAGCTGAGAGTTACCAGTGTTAAGGAGCTCAGATAGCCATGGAGATAGATGGGCTGACCAGAAATGGAGAGTGAAGGGAGGACCCAGGTCAAGCAAGGGCTCTCCTTGATGCCTTTCAAAAATAAGAGAATGGGGTGCTTGACCTGGTCTGCTTGTAATAAATGTAGGAATTGGGTCATTTTGGAGCAAAGGGATGAACAAAATTGCCTTTTAGCCCCAGGCATGGCACCTCAGCAAGTCTCTTTCCTACAGCAAGCTGCCTCGAACCCAGCCAGATGGCACCAGCATCCCTGGAGAGCCAGCTTCCCCCATCTCCCAGCGCCTGCCCCCCAAGGTAGAATCCCTTGAGAGTCTCTACTTCACCCCCATCCCTGCTCGAGGTCAGGCCCCACTGGAGAGCAGCTTGGACTCCCTGGGGGACGTCTTCCTGGATTCAGGCCGGAAGACCCGCTCCGCCCGTCGGCGCACCACTCAGATCATCAACATCACCATGACCAAGGTCAGGCTGCTGGGAGTGGGCCTGTAGGACCCAAGTGATGCTCACTTGCTCTTAAGGGCATCTTTCCCATCGGGTGCCTCTGGAGGCAGGCAGGGCTGACTAGTTCATGTGTTACAAAGAAGCACAGCCTCTTGTGTAGAAAGGGGCAGGGCTGGAATTGGATGCCTAAAGGATCTAAGGCTGGTTTCTTTCCATGTGTGGTACTGACTCCGTGCAGACCGAAAGGAGAGAAGATGGAGAAGTTGCAGCCCAGCCCTGTGCCTGCAGCATACCTCCTGGGTGGCTGAGATGCATTGTGGCCGCCCAGAGGGCTGCCTGCTAGGTTGGGGGCCCTGGTTGGCCCTTGTTTTCCATATTCTGAGGAGGATGGGGAGTGGGGAAGGTTCGTTTGGTGTGGGCTGCCTTTGGCTACCAAGAAGCTGCAGAAGTTCTAAAAGATGGGCAGGGCCCTGGCAAGCTTGGGCTGAGGGTCAGTGGAGGCTGTGGGATGAGCCTGACTATGACTAGCTCAGGAGACTGGTATTCTAGCCCCAGCTCTGCCACTCCCTAGCTGTTATCTGTGGGTTGGTCACTTTACTTTTTTGCACCTTGATTCTAAAATTGTCTGATAACACACTCTCTTCCCTCTTTCAAAGCATTGTTAACAGACTCAAATGAAAATGGGATAGCCTTGGCACCTTGTGCAGGATTCTTAGCAACAGGGCCCATTCCTTGTAGATGTGCAGCTAAGGATTCCTGCAAAGCAGTGGGAATACATGCTGCTGCGGGATCCGAGGCCCTATTTAGGAAAGTGAACAGGAGGCACCTTTTTGGATTGTTAGGGCCCCATTCCACCAGATCCATTCTCTCTTCCAGAAGCTAGACGTGGAAGAGCCGGACAGCGCCAATTCATCCTTCTATAGCACACAGTCGGCCCCTGCTTCCCAGGCTGGCCCACGAGCCACCTCTTCCACCCAGTCTCTAGCCCGCCTGGGCTCTCCTGACGATGGCAACTCTGCTCTGCTCAGCCTGCCTGGCTACCGGCCCACCACTCGCAGCTCTGCTCGCCGCTCCCAGGCTGGGGTATCCAGCGGGGCCCCTCCAGGTGAGGGGGCCACAGGGACACAACACACACAAAACCCCAGGCTGACTATATTTCGGCACCTCACCGACCCCTCCTCCCTGCAACCTCAGGGCTGTGCTGGGCAATCAGGCTGATGTTCATCTCAGCCAGGGTGAATGGGAAATGGTCACACGAGGGAGCCTGGGACTCCCAGTGGAACAGTGATGCTCAGCTGCTGCCTGGAGTCCTCCATTACTGTCTCAGGTGGTAAGGGGTGCCAGAAGGGCGCTTCAGAGACCTTTGGTCATCAATTCCTGGTCTTCAGTTAGTTTCTCTAGGGTGTCACAGCCTCCGCATACGGTATATGACTTCTTTTGACCTCCCCAGGGAGAGCACGCAGAGCAGAGCAGGATTCTGGGTTACTGGGCTTGAAGTCCACGGGACAGGTGGACAGGAGTGGTGGCCACAAAAGTTGGCAAGAGGCCAGGACCCGTGGGAGACCTGCTGCCTCTACCCTCACTCTTCCTGGCCTTCCTAGCCCCACCTGCTTCAGTTTCCCTGCCCTCCACAGGAAGGAATAGCTTCTACATGGGCACCTGCCAGGATGAGCCTGAGCAGCTGGATGACTGGAATCGCATTGCAGAGCTGCAGCAGCGCAATCGAGTATGCCCCCCACACTTGAAGACCTGCTATCCCCTGGAGTCCCGGGTGAGCTCCAGGGTCACCTGCACGGGACCCACACTGGCTCTTCTCCTCCTCCCTCAGCGCTCCATGCTGACCGAGCCCTAGTGCCCTGCCTGGCTCTTTGGCCTGCTGCAGAGTGACCTTATGCTTCTGGTGGAATAGCTGGCAGAGAGGGGTTCGGGGTGAAATCACTGTGGGTGGGCCTGAGTCTGTGGAGGAGGTCTGCTTGGGACTACTCTGCTCTGACCACCATGCAGGGCCTGAGTAGAGAAGACAATGGGAAGGGAGACCTTCCGCAACAGGAAGGCTTTAGCTGCTGCACACGCCGGGCCCGTGAAGAGTTCTAGGGTGGTCCTGCTGCACTGACCCCCTCCTTCCATCCCATCCAGCCTTCCCTGAGCCTGGCTACCATCACGGATGAGGAGATGAAAACTGGTGACCCCCAGGAGACCCTGCGCCGAGCCAGCATGCAGCCAGCCCAGATAGCCGAGGGCATGGGGATCACTACCCGGCAGCAGCGCAAACGGGTCTCCTCAGAGCCCCACCAGGGCCCTGGTACCCCTGAGGTAGGTGACCCTGATTCCTGTTTTGTTCCATCTAGCAGGTTTCTCTCTCCAAGAGTTTGATGCAGGGACAGGGACTGTTGGGAAGGGAGGTTTCCGGAGGGAAGTGGTGTTGACTTACAAGGTCCACTTGGCTCTGAGACACACAACTGGTTTTGGATGTGAACTCTTCTTCCCCGTAGTCTAAGAAGGCCACCAGCTGTTTCCCACGCCCCATGACTCCCCGGGACCGACACGAAGGGCGCAAACAGAGCACTAATGAGGCCCAGAAGAGAGCAGCTCCGGCTGTTAAACAGGTCAGTGGGGGCTGAAGGGAGATCCTAGAGGGACCTTGCTGGCAGGGCCCAAGTGCAGCCCAGTTTGACAGCCCTCCCCTCCCCGACAGGCTGACCGCCGCCAGTCGATGGCTTTTAACATCCTCAACACACCCAAGAAGCTCGGGAATAGCTTGTTGCGGAGGGGAGCCTCCAAGAAAGCCCCATCCAAGGCCTCTCCCAACACCCGCAGCGGGACCCGCCGCTCTCCTCGCATCGCCACCACCGCAGCCAGCGCTGCCACTGCTGCTGCCATAGCTGCCGCCACTGCCACCCCTCGGGCCAAGGGCAAGGTGGAAGCACTGACGGGGAAAGGAAGGGGGTGGATGGACTCTTAGAGTGGGTGGAAGCAGGGTACTCCCTCAGGCCACCCCTTGGGAGGCTTCCACTGTGTGGCCCAGCTAGGCCACTGGGGGTGGGCTAAGAGAAGGTGCTCTCTTACTAGCTGCTCCCTGAGGACGGGAGACACAGGGCAACTCAGCACAGCCAGCAACTGATAACCTGGAGCTAGATGTGTCCAGGTCACACCAAGGAAGGGATCCTAGTCAGAGGGGTTTGGAGCTAAAAGAGGCCTCAAGGCCAGCTGTATCTGCTGGCATCACAAGTCTCCCGCCAAGTGACTGTCTCTCTCTCTTTCAGGCAAAGCACTGAAGGGCCAGGACCAGTGAGAGGCCCCACCTGTGTCCTCAGTGCCGACCTCGCCTGGTCCTTTTCCTTCTACTGTCCCTTTCAGTGCCTTCTCTCAGCTCCCAGGCCAGCAGTGGCCAAACCCCTACAGACAGTGATGCCTGCCCACATCCCCAGCCTGGTACCTGGATCTTCACAGGAGCCTTCGCTAGGTGAACTGAGGTGTTCTGAATTGTCCCCAGAGGCCTGGAGTGTCTGGGTCTTCTCCCTACCTTGCCTCCTGACGTTTTCTTAGAACAAAGTCACTTCTCCATCACAACCAGACTTGAGGCTGGCTTTGAGTGGCTGGGCCCAAGAGCCTCATCCTCCTCAGCCTCTGAATCCAGAAGGGACCATTGGAGGAGCAGGCCCTGGTCCCTGCTGCTCATGGTGGCTGGGCCTAGCAGGGCCCTTGCTTTTGAAGTCCAGGACTGGACATTGACCTAGCGGGTGCACCTAGAGATGCTCCCATCCACCCAAGGGCTCAGCTGCCCAGAAGATGCTCTTTTCCAGAACAGATAGGCCCCATGCCTGGGGGTGGCAGTGGGGAGTGGGAGGGGAGCAGTCTTCAGCTGCACCTCATCCCCCCTTCCCCAGACTTAAAAGTGGGGTGGGATTTTGGAGTGATGGGAAGGTTTTTAAGGGCCAGGGATGGATCTTTTTCTAAATGTTATTACTTGTAAATAAAGTCTATTTTTCTCCCTTAAGTGCTGAGCTGTCTTGATTTGTGTGGGAAAAGGGAAGTTTAGGTTCATTAGGGTATTTATATCTTTGTCCCTGCCGAGTGTCCCAGACTACCTGCCTTCTCTCAAATCCCTTCTCCTGGCCTTTCTGGGGCCACAGGATCTTCCCACACTTTTTTGAGGGCCTGTGTTCCCGGACTTTAGTTTTGTCTTTAGCTTCTGAGTGATAGTCCCCCTCTTCCCACACTCCCTCCTGGGATGGGCCAAGTTCTGTAAGTGGAATGAGGACTTAAATGACAGAGCAGATGTCATCATGCCTCCACTGAAAAATCATTTATGAGTACCCATTGTGGACCCAGGCAGCTGTGGATCAGAAACAGCATCTACCCCCACCCTTCCCTGGGACAGTCCATTAAAGGGAAAAAAGAATACAATATTAAGTCGATGCAGAAGAAGGCCTGAGCTGCAAGGGCAGCTCAGGTAATGATGTTCATCCAGGTTCTGGAGTTCACCTGTCTTGATGGTGAGGCAGAGGGGACCCGCTGGAGGGTGAGGTTTCTTGAGTGCAGGGCGCAACTGTCCTCAGCCCAGCCTGGGGAAGCGAAGGCAGACAAGGCTCAGGGCCAAGGGTGGGGACATCTCTCGTAACCTTTCTTCAGGCCATGCCTCCCCTGCCTGCATCCTAAGTTCTGCTTGGGAGCACAGTGGACGTTAATGGAGGCCACTCCGGGCAGAGCCCACCCTATCCTCCCCATACTACTCCTCCTGTCCGTGGAAACCTCCACTCAGGTTTCTCACCCAGAGCTGGGCCACGACGATGTGACGCTGGGCAGTCTGCTCAGGATCGGCAAAAACACAGGAGAAGTTGGTATTGCGCAGGGTGGGGCTCAGCTCCTCTAGCATGAGGGTCGTCTGCAGCTGGGTGCGTGGGCCCCGGCGCTCCCGACTGAAGCAGAGGAGGAAAGGCCATGAGAAGACCATAGGAGGAACCCCAACCACCCCCCTGCCTGCCAGCCTTGCCACTGCACCCCTCACCTGATGCTGCCCTCCCTCAGCCGACCTGGGAGGTGTTCGATGAAAGAACCATTGCCCAGCCAGTACAGGATGCTAAAGTGGGGGAAGCGGCTACAGGCGGTACAGGACAAGGTCAGCATTCCATCTAGGGACACATGTGGCTGTTAGCCCTTCTGGAGAGCACACCCTCCCCTCCACCATGCTGCCCTCCCCCCTGGCTCCCACAATTCAGGAACTGGATTACTGCTGTACACACCACCCAGGTGGGAAAGTCCGTTAATGGGGAAGTGTGGTTGTCTACAAGGCAGGCCTGGGGCTGAACAAGAGGAATATGGATGGGTATGCGTCCTTGGTTCAGATGACGACTCCTGACCCTGTTTCTTCAAGATGGCCTTTTCCAGTGCTCAGCTTTGGGGACTCTAGGACCCCTGGTCAAGGAGGCAGTAGGCCACTGCTCCTCTAAGATGGCCAGAGGGCAAGTGGGCTTGGGTGGGGCGCAGGCTGGGCCTCGGAGCATACTGCAGTCAAGGCTCTGGGAGTCCTCTGACCATCCTTATGTCTGAATTCTCTCCATCCCATCTTGGGAGCTGGGCCCTGCATCCACACTCATGATGCTGGGTGGGAAAGGGGATGCCGAGTGCTCTGGCAAGCTGCCCTGGCTGGTGGGGCTACATGGCAGAAGGCAGTGGAAGGGGGCAGCTCAGGAGTCAATCCCACCTTTGGGCCCTCTGTGCCCACAGCTCACCCCCTGACCACTGTGCCCTTTTAGGCTCCCATCAGAATTGCTCCTTACTCAGTGGGACTTCCAGTTCCGGCCAGGTCACCTCCATTGCTGGGCACTGCTTGGCTGTTGGGAGCCCGGAGGGGCAGGGGTCCTTTGTGATCCCAGATGAGCCAGTGAAAGCGGTGGTGGCCTGAGGTAGAGGTGTGGCTCCAGCCAGGTGAGAGACTATGTGGGCACATAGGAGCAGGACAGGCAAAGGCCTGGGATCTGAGGGCAGGACAGTCACAGAGGTCAACTGCTGTCTGCCTGGAAATGCTCAACATCCTGGCTTGGATCTTGGCTGGAGAGGGAGCTGCCTGGATGCAGCTCTGGCCGAGATTCCTGGGCTCTGCCCAGGGAATCAGAGGGGCAGAAGGACTCCTCAGGCCCCACCTCTTGGCCCTTTCTGAATGGAGAGAGGCTGGACAGAGGCTGAAAGGGAGAGCACAACAGCAGGGTGGAGCTCCCCTGGCGGAGGGGGGGTGTGTGTGTGCCTGCTCCACTCCCTTCTGTTCTCAGGCCCTACCCCACCCGCCCTTGCCAGCCCCTAGGTCCTACCTGGTGTCCGGTTCTGTCTCATGGTCTTGACGGATGTGTAAGGAGCTGGCGTGCCTGGCTCTATTTAACTGTGACAACTTCCTCCTCTCTGGGGCTGGTGGGGGAGGAGAATGGGAGTAAACTACTTCTCTCACATCTTCTCAGTGGCTTGTCTGGATCCCAGCCATTTGTATGGGCCTGTCCTTCCTGAAGACTCCACAGCCGTCCCTCGATCTGAACTGAGTGGGTTGCCAGGCAATGCTATTTATTTACTCCAGGCATCCCATCCAGCACAGGCTGGAGCTCTTTCAGAATGTAGCAACAAAGCTGAAGATCATCTAGTAACCGTCTTTCCCCACTCTAGCTCTAATTACCATTAACATTATGTGGTTATGTGTCCACTCTAACCCCTTCATTATAAGGATGGAGAAACAGACCCAAAGAGGGGCCAAGGACTTACCCCGTCACAAAGAGAGGCAAAGCTCTTTTCACTGGAGCTGGTTCCGGGAAGGACAGGATTAGTGAAATCCTTCTGGGAAAACATTCTCCACTCCCCTCTATTTCACTTTCACTTTTGTTCTAACCATGGAATCCAGAGTAGGCTCTGAGTTATTAACAGAGGGCACACACATAATGCCAGTCTGGGTCCAGTCTGTACACAGCACCTCTTCTGGGAGCCGAAGTTCATGATGGCCCAGAACCTTCCTGCTAACTCACAGACCCCCGCCCCTACTCTCCAAGTGGCATCAGACTGGATCTTTCGTCCCTGCTCAGCTTCACCCTCCCAGGGGCATATACGGTATGAACTTATGAGTCTCCCGCAGATGGATTCTTCTGTCCCGGTCAAGGGTTAGGACTCTGGCATCCACCTTTGCTCTTCGGAACCAGCCTTTGCTTCTACACGAGCAGACTTCATGCTTCTTTCACATTCACACTGATCTTCAAGGGGTCAGCTCTCCTTGGCACTGGGGGCCCCATACTGGATCGCTTTGACCACTCCAGGCTCAATGTCACACCAGCCCATCATCCTGGCCTTTCTCAGGCTCTCCACTCCCTCCAACCACCAACCCCACCCCCACCCACCACCCCACAAACTATATGGCCAGAACTATAGGTCTAGGTTTACTAGGAAGTCTAAATTTCCCCCTACCTGGCTCCCAAGAAGCCCCAAAGAGCCCTCTTTTTCAGAATCCCCCCCTTCAAAGCTCAACACTCAGTCCAGCTGTGTCCAGACCCACATGAGCCATGACACAGGAACTATGCTGACAGCACTCTCCAGCCTTGTGTGCAGGAACCTCTCAGAGTCAAGCTGAGGACTTGGAACATAAACTGGAGCTTTGGCCCTAAAAAGGAGAGGGCGCCTCCCAGGGAAGTAGGGGAGCAAGCAGCCCAGCGCTGGCTTCAGCAACAGAGCTATATGAATGCACCAGTCTGGTGGCTGATGGGACAAATGGAGCTGGGGCAGGGCCAGGACTAGGGTGAGGTTAAGTGAGGCACCCGGGATGCAAAACTGGAGTAAGCATTCACTATCAGGGTCTCGCCAGTGTCTGCAGAGGCAGAAAGACCAGGACTGGTGATTAAGCATGAAGGACAAGACCCAAGTGTCTGAGGTTTGTGGTCTCTGTGTTCTCTGTGATGGGATGCCCAGAACAGAACCAGGGAAGCCAGGAGATGGAACTAGGTTTGGAGTTCATGAAACTCCTCCCTGGGAGTGCCCCTATCTCTAGCCATCAGGTCAGGAGGCAAGGCTGCCTGGGGCTTCTGAGACAGTCCTTTGGGGGTGGGGTGGGGATGGAGGAAGAGGAGACAGGACTCTACCTTAGAGTGGAACCAAGACAAGAGTTGGGCCACTGGGAGGTCATGGGACTCAGGCTTGCTGAAGTATGAAAAGAGAGCCTTGGACAACCTGGTCTTGGCTTCTCACATGAGCCTGAAGTACAGGGGGAACAAAAGTGAAAGAATGATCCCTGGACCCTTCAACTGGGCGCACCAGCATGAGCAGTGGGGGACTATGGGAAAACACAGCTGGGTGAGAGAAGCCAAAGTTGAGAGTGGCTCATGAGAAGAGGTGCTGGCAACAGGGCACTGACCTCAGGAGGTGAGGAAGAGAGTCACCCAGTGATGTCCCAGGGCCCTTCTGCCACAGGACAGGAGCCTGGCATCACACTATTCCCAGGGATAAGGGGTGGGGCCAACTACCCCTAGGATCCAGCTCTCAAATGGGAATAGCAAAAGGCAGCAAAGACAAGGTACTCCCAGGGACCCCAGGGAAGAATAAAGCAAGATGGATGTTCAGCTTTCCAACCCAGCTCACAGAGCTTTATTCAGAATGGAGTGACAAGATCCTGCTTGGCTCTTGCTGTGCTTGAAGATGCAAGCCCAGCTGGGCCATATTCCCTAGGAACCCAGTGCTGAGGGCCCACGTTTACCCTCCCACTTCCTTCAGAACTCCTAGGGCCAGAGCTGGGGCCTACCTGGAACCTGTTTTTAGATCCCTTGCCTGGGCCTTGCCTGCTTCTCTTCCCACCCACCACCACTCCTGTTGCCAGGCCCGGGTAGGCCCCATGAACGTGGAAGCTGACAGAGGGACATTCCCTGGGCTGGGAATCCCCTGGCTGCTTCAAGGGAACACTGTCTGACGACAGGGAGGAGTCTTAACTGTCATAGTCCTTCTGCTACACACAAACAGACGCACATACTCTCTCTCAGGCTTTCAGGGAAGGAAGTGAGTGATGTGGCAGGGTAGCCTTTGGCACGTGTCACCACTTCCGGGCTAAAGGTTCTGTTCACATAAGGGGCCTTCAATCACTGCCACCCATAGCAGTCCCCATGGCCCAACTACATATGGATAGACTCTGTTCTTGCCTGAGTACAGCCCAGCTTGGGGGCAGGTTACCCAAGCTGCTGCTGTTTCTGGTTGCCCCCAAACACATCCTCAATGGATTACGAGGTTCCAGGGCTTCTCTCACTAGAAAAGTCACAAGGTTCCACTTGCCTCAACCAGTCTATGGGACCTGGACAAGGGAAGACAGAGTCAGACACAATACCGATCCCAGGCCCAGACAGGGAGGAGGGAAGAAGATACCTCACCCCTCAGTGCACATCTGTGGCACCAGGCAGAGCCCATTGGCTCTCCCACACTGAGCGAACCAGACTGGAGCCCCACAGAAGGAAGGAAAGATGGGGGTGGGATTGGCTGAGGCTCTCAGCCAGAGATGAGAAGGCTCCTTTAAACCAAAAATGTTGTGTCTCTGCTCCCACCCTGCTCAAGCAAGGAGGGTAAGGCCTGGAGGAGTTGGGGCAATTCCTATGCTCCACAATAAAAAAGGTTTTTAAATATATTCATCAAAATAGTATTCTTTTAAAAAGCCCCCACTGCTGACAGCCCCACTGGCTGGCTCTCCATCGTCTCCCTCCCCAGCCCGGACACAGCCGGAGGGGTCCTGAGTGGCCCAAGTGCCCCTCTGAGTCTTTCCCACCCAGGAGGTCTTGGAGGGCAGGGAGGAGAGTGCCCTGAGGTCCATAGTGGGTGGATGCTCTTCTTCCTGACTATTCCAGGCCCAGGATGTAGTTGATGCCTTGCACCAGGCCAATGATGACAGGCTGCCAGGCTACCAAGTATCGAAGCCAATCCAGCAGTTGCCCGTACATGACGTGAGGCCTCTCCCAGCTGTCAGTGTGTTAAAGAGGCTATGTGTAAGAGCTGCTAAGGTTGGACTAGGGGATGGGTGAGAGGGTCTGCCCACACTTTCAGCTGCTCCACAGAAATGAGCCTACAAGGAGAGGAAGCCCCAGCCAGCCTCTCCATGTCAGAAGGAAGGGCTAAACCCAGAGAATGGGGGAAGGAGAGAACAGGGAACCAATGCAGAAGACAGGACAGACATGGGAGAAGGGTAGAAAGGTGAAACTAAACTAAGACCAACATGCAGAAGAGGGCCTCCCATGTAACACCTTCTCAAAGATGGACCCATTGGTGTTAAGTAAGAATACACAGTCTGAGACTGCTGTAAGTGCATCTGTGCCAATGGCTGCAGGGAGGTGGACAATGCGATAAAGTAACCCCAAAGGTTCTTATAATGTCCACAATGAAGGCTTTCTAGGTCAAGGAAGGGGCTGAGTCTAGGGACCGAGTTGGAAGAGAGCAGGGAACAAGTTAGTCATGGGATAACCCTGGGCAGAGGCTCTAAGGAATCCCCACCCACCACTAAACACCAGGCCCTACTGAGGCCAAAAGGCCCCAGAGATCAGTTCCGTTCCTTTAACTTTATAACTAAATGCTGGGCCAGACATCTAGAGAGGAAGTCTGGGAATCCAGCTCTGGGGAAAGCAGAAAAGGAACATCACGACACTGTGAGGGAACCCCTCCAATAGCATTAGAAAGAGCAGCCTGGCCCAATCCCTGGGAACTAAGGGAAGCCCCAAGTCTCAGCTCTACCATGGAGTTACTTAACTGTTCCTGAACTAGACCCTGGAATAACCAAACAAGAAACCTTATGGGGACAGGCCAGAGCCTCCTGTTCAGGGGCTGTGGGAATGTGCTAGGTGGGAATGCAGTGGCCCCTGCCCAGCCCAGCCAGTGACCAGGGGATAGGGAGCCCTGGTATGGAAGGAAAGGGAGAGAGGGGGGAAAAAGGGGAGAGAGGGAGGAGAGAGAGGGAAGAGCGAGTGGGAGGAGAGAGAGGGAGGAGAGAGGGGAAGGACAGAGCAAGTGAGCGAGCAGTCAGGGTAGGGAGAAGGGAGAAACCTGGGCCCCTGGATCCCAGGGGAAGTGAAGTGGGGGAGGGGCAGAGTAGTGACTGGGAAATTTCCAACAGACAGGCAGAGAGGAGGAAGAGGAAGGTGAGGGCAAAGTGGGGAAGGCCAAGAGGGTACAGGACATAGCTCAGAGGAGCAGTGGTCCCGGGCTGAAAGTGGATGGGAACAAGGAGTCCCTCAGCCATCCTTGCATCTTGCAGGCCCCGCAGAGGCACAGAGCCTGTCTCTAGCCTCACATGTCACAGGTAAGGCATTACTCATTAGCTATATAACCTTGAGCAGGTTATTCAACCTCCAAACCATTTCATTCGTAAAATGAGGAAGGTCACCAAGTTGCCAGAGAATCAAATGAGATAATGTGAGCAGAGCACTTTGTTGAAGTGCCAACCACACAGTGAGCAAACAGTAAGTTGGGCTGCTACTGCCATCAATTTACTGTTGGGAGATCTAGAACTATGATGAGAATCTGAGCTGCTGGTCCTGTCCCATGTTCCACCCCCTACTTTCCTAGATCACGAGCTAAATGGAATGGTGGGTATGTACCAGGTTGGGGGCAGGAGGAAAGGCCACAGAAGGACACAAATGCAGAGGGCTGGCCAGGACTTTCTTCCCACTGCCCATTCCCAGCAAGAACCCAAACAAAGGATACGGATTGCTGAACATCCTCTTGAGATCCACCTTCTCTTTGCAGTAAGGACATGTCTGCTTCTTTCCCACAATGCACCAGCCGCGGATGCAGAACTCGTGGAATCTGAGTACCACTGGTCAAGGGAAATGGTAGGCAGCCGGGATGGCACTGGAGCCCCATGCCCATGCACTAGCCCTGGAGAAAGGTTCAAATCCTGGCTTCACCTCTTATTAGCTGTATAACCATGGACACATCCTTTCTCTCTGACCCTGTTTCCTCTCATGTGAAGAGAGGAAAATGATCTCTATCTTACAGCGTTGTAGTGGGGCAAAATGGAGAGAATACATGGCACAGAATGGGTGCTGAGTAAGCACATGATAAATACTGGAAGTGTCATTCAGGGAGACTAGATTCTGATACTGAGCGATCCAGCTAGAGGATGCTCCTCTCTGTGACTGAGCCAACCTCAAGGCAGCTAGTGCAGCCTCAGGCTCCTTTCTGATCCAGCCAGGCTATAAACACTGTTTACATAGGTGGCCCCCAGCTGTGGAAAAGAGTGAGGGAGGCTGCGATTTCCACTCCTGGGTGTCAGTTTCTCTAGCAAAGAACACCACCCAAATGTCTGCCCTTTTGTGACTCTCTCGCACTTCAAGGTTTGGACAATATGCCAGGGTCATGACCACCCCCTCCTCTCCCTGACTAGAATGCCATGTGGCAGGAGAGATGTGGCCCAGGGGCTCCAGACAGGATACACATGATTGCAAGACAGCCTATATGTGTTCTCGATGATTCCCTCTTCACTGACATCCACAAAGATCTGCTGCCCACACACGGCACACACACTGTCCGAGAGGTGTTTGGTAGGCATGCCTGACTCGCTGTAGAACTGGGAGAGAAGAACAAGAGGAAAAGACAGGAAAGGTGTGAGAATCAGCCAAAGTAGGAAGGTACCACAGAGGACTTAGGTCTTCTGAAGAGGAGGCAAAGTGCCAGGGGGAGGTCCCACAGCTAGAGAACATCTTTTATATGCCAAATTCACCTCATCTTTGCGAGGTCGATGGGGAGAAAGGGACACCAGAGATGGGTTGGGAAGTCAGACCCAGTAGGACCTGAACACTGGTCTAGTCAGCATCAGGGACAAGGAAATCAGAGGTAGGAGGACTCAGGGCTGGCGACCCAGAGCTGTGTCAGGTAAGCCGCTCTGTGGCCAGACTATACTTCCACTAGGGATGGACAACATCTCTTCTCTAAGATTAAAAACAGTCAAATATCTTTGGTGCAATGTTGGTATGGTGATGAGGGCATTCCCAGACACTTGTGGCAGCAGCAAAAGAGGCTTACTCCTTTTGGACAGCATTCGGACAGCATCTCAAACTGCCATGCCCTTTAGCCCACTGATGTCACTTCAAGTAAGGTAAAGAAGTAAAAATATCAAAAAAGCCTCATGTATACAGATATTCATTTAAGCATTATTTATAATTAAAGAAGCAAAGAGTTTTGCAATTCTGTAAAAAGTTAAATAGAATTACCATATGACACAGCAAGTCCATTCTTACATGTACCCACCCCCCAAAAATGAAAACAAAAACGAAACACACATTTGTAAGCCAATACTCAAGGCAGCATTATTCACAATATCCAAAAGGCGGAAACCACTCAAGTGTCCATCAAAAGATGAATGGATAAAACCAAATGTGGTATACGCGTACAGTGGAATATGATTCAGTCATAAAAATAATGAAGTTCTGATCCATGCTACCACAGGCATGAACACTGAAAACATCCTAAGTGAAATGTCAGACACCAAAGGTCAAATATTATGATTCCATTTATATGACAAAATATCTAGAATAGGCAAATTCACAGAGACACAATGTAGGTTAGAGGTAGCCAAGGGCTGGGGGAAGGGAATGGGGCGTTATTGCTTAATGCACACTGAATTTCTGTTTGGGGTGATGAAAAGTTTTGGAAATAGTGGTGATAGTTGCACAACCCTGTGAATGTAATTAATGCACTGAACTGTACACTTAAAAATAGCTAAAATAGTGAAGTTTTAAGTTATATATACTTTACCACCGTAAAAAATACCATAAAATAATAAAAATAAGCAAAGAAATGGAAATAACCATGCATGACTCAGAATAGGAGAATGCCTAAATAAGTTTGGTACACACTCAAGGGACTGAACAGGCAGCGAGTCAACAGGAAGCCTGAGGTGTAACAGTAAGTGTCAAAAATTGATGGCATAGTATGATTGGTACCATATGTAAAGACAAGCCCAAATCTATACAAAGAGAAAAGATCAGAAGGAAATATGTCACAATGCTCACACCAGTGATGGTTTGGTAGTAGCATCATAGGTGGTACTTTTCTTTCTTTTTTTTAATTTTTTTAAATGTTTATTTTTGAGAAAGAGAAAAAGGGTGAGTGGGGGAGGGGCAGAGAGTGAGAGGGAGATACAGAATCCAAAGCAGGCTCCAGGCTCTGAGCTGTCAGCACAGAGCCTGACGTGGGACTCAAATTCACGAACTGTGAGATCATGACCTGAGCCAAAGTCGGATGCTTAACCAATTGAGCCACTCAAGCGCCCCTCCATAGGTGGTATTTTTCTTTTGTCTACTTTTCTGTACTCAAATTTTCCTTAATGAACATACATTACTTTTAGATTAAAGATTATTTATTACCATGCTGAATTACAATAACCAATTCCATGCTCCAAAAACAAACTCCAACAAATTTTGTATACTTTCCATGTGGTTTATTCCTTCTTTCTTTTCTTTCTTTTTTTTTTTTTAAGGTTTATTTTTGAGACAGAGAGACAGGGAGCACAAGTGGGGGAGGGGCAGAGAGAAGAGGGAGCATCCACAGCGGGCTCCATGCTGACAAGCGGAGAGCCCAATGCGGGGCTCGAACTCAGGAACCCTGAGATCATGAAGTTGGATGCTCAACTGATTGAACCACCCAGGTGCCCCTATTCTTAAATAGCTAAATAGCATTTCCCCCTGACCCCAAAGAGAAAAGACTTGAAATTTATTTTTTGACATTTTCTAAGATGTATTGTTTTTTTCCTTTCCCTTGCCTTAAAAACTGTGATAAAAACCACATAATATAGAATATACATCTTAACTACTTCTAAATGTAAGTTGATCAGTGTTCAGTCTATTCACACTGTGCAACTAATCTCCAGAACTTTTAAACATTTTGCTAGACTCTATAATGGACTGTGAAAAAGACTTTGGAGTTTGTTATTACAATTCATCTGGACCTGTAAGATAGTTTACTATACCTAGCCATTTGTATGTCCTTAAACTTGAGTTTGCTCTCTCTTTTCTTCTGTTTGCAAACAAATGTCTTCTGAAAAAGCAAAGCCCTGAGGCTGGGTGAGAGAGGAGACGGCACCCAGGTGCTGGGACAGGGAGTATGAGAGGGTGACACCAGGTGCCTGCCAGAACTTCTGCTCGACATGGAAGCTTCCCTTGCTCCAAGCTGTCCTCCTGAAGAACAGCCTCTGTCAGACATCAGAACTGCTATCCAAACCCAAGACTCCTCCAAGATAGAAGGCAGAGATAACACACTGCCCCCAAGAGTCCATGAATATAGAGCTTCCTGCCTTCACTCCCACCTCCCTCCCTTGTAAAACACTCTGAAGTAGCTCAAGTTGAGTGCTACTTATCACAGAATACTAGAGCAGCCCTAACACTGGGGAAACCAAAGCGCAGAAGAGGAAAAAAACAAGAGGGTACTAGAACCCAGACCCTTTGACTCCTACCCAAGTTCCCATCCAAGTAACATCTGCAGAATGATCACCTACTTAACTTGCCGAAGGCCAGTTATCCAAATAATTACAATTTGTTTATCCAGAGTACAAAAGGCAGTGGAAAAGGATAAGCTAGAGTCAGAACGCAGGGTCAAACCTGTGGGAGTCTATGAATTGTGCAACTCTCAAAAGCTGGAATCTCATAATGTTAGTGTTGGGGGGCACCTCTGAGAAACACTTCCCCAAAGCTTGACAGGCTGATGGCTCTGAAATGTGTTCTGGCTTAGAATTTCTAGGCACATCAACTAAACAGAGAGGGGAGACCAAGAGGTCTGGGTTCAGCTTGGCACTGAGTCCTTGTACAATCACGTGGCATAGGAATATGGCCACTCACTCTGGCCCACAACATTGGCAATAAGAGAACTAAGAATGCTACAACTCAGGAGATGGTTTAGAGCTCTGAGGAAGAGCTTAACCTCAAATCACCCCAGAGTTCTGCCCCCAGAGCACCGGGGCCAAGGGTGCAAGATCAGGGTGCCTGGGTGGCTCAGTCGGTTAAGCATCCGACTTACTCTTGGTTTTAGCTAAGGTCGTGATCTCACAGTTTTGTGGGTTCGAGCCCACATTAGACTCTGTGCTGGCAGCACGGAGCCTGCTAGGGATTCTCTTTCCCTCTCTGTCTACTCCTTCTCTGCTTGCGCTCTGTCTCAATCTCAAAAAAGAAAAAAAATAAAGGATGAAGGATCAAAAAGAGAACTTGGATGAGGTGAAGACAGAAAGAAAGAAGGTCACAAAAGTATCTGTCTTAGGCCCCTCATTTCTGGAGTTCTTCCCACAAGGCTAATGTGGAAACAGGCAGGCAGAGTCAAATACTACAGTGTTTCAACAAAGCCCTCAGGTAAGCTGTCAAACCAGGAAGGCCCCACACCCCCAGGGCTCACAGAGACCACACAGGAGACTGTATCAGGAGGCACTGAAGTGGGGTTGGGTAAAATACAGAAAGGCAGATTTCAGTTTAACCTTAAGAGCCTGATCCCTTGCTAGAATAGACTCAGGGGAACCAATGGTTTATTAGGATTAGACAGACCTAAGTACAGTCTTCTGTCACTTACCACCTTGATGAACTTGAGCAAGCCTTCCAAACCCTTCCCTCTTCCATCAAAATATATTGGGTACCTACTGAAGTACCAGCCACTGGACCATTATATCCTGGGGATATAATGCTAGAAGAGCATAAACCTGACCTCTAACCTCATGGAACCTACAGCTACAAAAGAATGACATTAAAAAAATAAATACTGGGGCGACTGGTTGGTTCAGTCAGTTAAGTGTCAGACTTGATTTCAGCTCAAGTCATGGCCTCGCGATTCATGGGT